CCCTTCTAACGTCAACCATCGGAGTTAAACTCGGCATCATAATACTAAGCTCTCCCTTACGATGGTTACAATAGCAACCCGAACTAACTTTTTGCTTCGCAAGCAAATATATAAGGACAGTTTCTTAGCGCTTTTTTTTTTTTTTAATTAAAAAAAAACCGAGTTTACACATAGGAGGTTACTTAAATAGTTTCCATTACAGCATAGTTAATTTTTCCTCTCTGAAACATTGCGAAATATCTATTAATATTATAGTGATTATTCTTTACACATGATCGCCATACAAATTTATTTGTGCTTTGTTGGCTCGATTCGCATTGAAAAGCTGAATAGAATTCTTTATTTGGCCAAATATCTATCTCTAAGTTTACTTTAAACCTTCATTGTTACAAATAAATCATGGGGTTTATTTTGGGTAGCATGATCGATCACAAGCTGATCTCAGTATTAATAAATTTGAAATAATTTATTTTTAAGTATTGTGCAATACGTAATATTATGTAACGTGACTATTTTGGATTATCCTATTTTAGGATTTGATGTTAGTCATCGGTTTTTTTTTTAGTTTTCTATCATTTGGTAAAATTAATAATCAATTCATAACGATATAATAACATTCATAGCTTTAAAGTTATTTATTGATTTCATCTGAGCATCACATTCATATATATATATTTGAATAATTAATCATGAAACCTAAAGGAACTCGTTCTCTTTCTGCTTGCATTCATTGTAGAAAAGCAAAAATAAAATGCACTAACTTCGATTCTAAACTTGGATGTGATGAATGTGAAAAACGTCAATTAAAATGTATAATGGATCCATGCCGTAAAAAACGCGGACCGAAACCAAAGACTATTCACATCATGCCTACATCACAACTGCCGAATACAATTAACTTTGATTCAAGGGTTAATACTCTTTTCAACAATTCATTTTAGTAATCTTATATTCACTCGCTATACTAAGTCAATTAATAATTAGGTATCTGGGTTAAATGATTTTGGGAACATGATATACGATGTTCAACTATCAGAAGTTAGACCTACATTATCAACCCGATGCATGAGTTGTGTGAAAGGAAAAAAATTATGCAAAGGTGGAACTCCTGGACTTTATAAATGTGATAGGTGCCAAAAAAAGAGCGTTTGTATATTTCAATGCACAGCCTGTTATAAAAAGAACAAGGATAAAAAAGATCAGCTACCACAATGCAACCATTGCAAAGTGATTTCAGGAGGTAATTTCTATTAAACTTTTGATGTTTGTCTCGATCTATTTAGCATAAAGTTTAATCATTTTTACCAACTAGATCCACCTCCTGAAAGCATTATTTCAAAGTATGATATAACCATGGATGAGGCTGGGCAAAAATCCTACCTTCGTCATTATAATTGTAATCATAAAATAGAGATCACCTCTGGTAATATTCTATTCTATTAATGTATTTCTCTAAATTTCGTTTAATACTAAATGTTATATTAGATTTACTAGATGCAATGATAAATTCCTACAAAACTATTAATCCAACTTACATAGCACCAGATGACGTTTCTGAACTTTCAAATCTTCATGGTCAGAATGAAGAAAGTTATACGAGTGGTATTGTAAAAAAGATTTCTTAAATATTTAAAATCTTCATATTCAC